ACGCAGCTCTTCTGCACTCATATTTTAAACTTCCAAGTTATAAATTGGAAGTTATAAAAAAACTTCCAAGACAGTTTTTTTTTTTTGAAGTCTATATATACACACATACACACACACATACTTTTTTAAATCCAGTGGAAAAAAACCAAAATTCGTAGGTAACCTAAATAAAGATCCTCAGTTTTACAGAAAGAGACAAAGTTTCATTTACATTTACAGTTTCCTCGCTTGGTACTCTTACCTACATTATTGTTACTAAAAAAAGAAACAACAGGCCAAAATGGAGTTACTTTTGCTAAGTCACATCACCTAATTACAGTTTCAGCATTTCCCAGGAGTGAAATTTTAAACCAATCAGTCCAGAATTTCTGTATCAATAGTAGTAAGGAACTCTGCATGATAAAACTCCTGCCATTCCCTTCCCCCAAAAGAAAATGACCTGGCCTAAAAATAATCCTCTCTTCTCTTGTGCTACTAACTCTCCTGCTACACTTTTCTGCCTATAAAAAATTTCCATTTTTACAACCCCCCTCAGAGCACCCTTCTATTTGCTAGATGGGATAATGACCAATTTATGAATTACTTAATGAAGCCAATTAGATCTTCATATTTACTACGTTAACTTTTACTCTTTAACAATGTAAAATACATGCCACCACAAACTTAACCAACTATTTCTGGGGCTCCATATAGCTCACAGGTACTCAAAAAGTTCCTTGATATTCTCTGTTCATGTCCTCATATCCATCATTCCAATTCACTTTTCTACCACCAGGTAACCTAACATACAACTTTCCCCCTTCCCCTCATCTCTCTTTTTCTGAACTCACCTGTATATATAAATTCAATATGTTGGCATAAATATCCAAACCTGCAGAAAATTTTTATGAGTTTATTTGAGCCAAATTGATGACTATGCTGGGAAGCAAATCTTAACAGATTGAGAAAATGCCCCGAAGAGTGGCATTTTTGCAGCTTATTTTATATAGCACAATCAAAGGAAGAGATCTAAGAATGGTAACCTGAAATTCACTAGCGGTAGATTAGGGAGAAAGCAAAGAGACTGAATAAAGAGTAAAACAGTGAAACAAATACTTCTTTTATGCCTGTGGGTACAGGATAGTTAACAATTAAAATTCACAGCACATAGAGATGGTATTTGAGCAACAAGATAACAGTAGGGGCTTATGTGGTCTTTGTGCTCTTGTGCCCTGAGGGGTGGGGTGGAGGGGAGAAGGGGATTGCTCTGACATTCCAAGAGTGTTATTTTAGATGCAAAAAGACAATAGACAGATTTACTTAAGGTAGAGATTGACCTTTGTCAAGGAAGTTGCAGGCCTAGGCTGTGATTACCATTCAGGACTCACTTTTAATTAGGAATTTTTATGTTCAGGCCATCCTATGTGTTTACTTTATCTCTCTGAGTTTGTAAGGCTGCCATGCAAACCTCACCTGAATTTGTCAGGTTTAGCATGTGGCCCCTTTTACATCCACAAATACAAATACAGGATGGGGCAAAAGGAGGTTTACATTTTTAAGTACACAAAACAGTTTACTCTTGTATTATTACTTACTATTGTATTATTTTCCCCATAAACAACTGTAAACCTACCTTTGCCCCATTCTGTAGATATTTAGGGATCTAGATACTGAAATTCCCAGGCTAACACCTAGATATAGCTACATTTATAAAAATTCAATATTAAGGTTTAACCTACTAATCTCTAAATCTAACATAATATGCTACCCAATACCACTTAAAAATTTCACATGATTATTTATCTATTCCATTTTTCACAGGACAGACTGTCAATTTGTATTTCTTTACTTAGGGTCAAAAAACAAGTGCTTGGAGTTCAAGAAGCCAAAGTTCTGGACCCACCTCTGCTTGCAATGTGAACTTAAGCAAGTCACTTAATTCTTATCAGATAATTGCTCATCTATAAAAGGCAAGTGGCCTATTCTCAGAAGTGATCCAAGTAAACTCTGCAGTTGAGGAAGAGTGAAGAAATAAAATGCAGTCACTGTTGTTAAGCTGCTAAATTACTAAAATCAGGTAGGCTGAGAGGTAGGAGAAAACTATTATTCTATTCAATAACTCTCTGATTATCCTCTAATGGACTAAGGAAAGAATGTTCATATATACAGACCACCTGACATACACTAGTGAGATCTCAAGTCATCTAGAACAACCGTTTTTAACCTTTTTCACCTCATGGCATACATGTACTAATTACTAAAATTCTGCAGCCGACCAAAATATATACTTTTTGCCAATCTGACCAAAAAAAAAAAAAAAATAGGTATAATTTTGATTCATTCACATCAGACAACCATTGTTGTGTTGCTTGTTATCATTTTTTTTTATTTGATCATATAAGGGTAAAGAGGACAGTGCCCCTGACTAATCAGGCATCACATGTTTTAACTCTTGCAGCACCGCAGTGTGCCTTGGCACACCAGCTGAAAATCACTATTGTAGAGGATTACCATCTTGGACTGATTCTTCCCAAGAATGTACTTTTTACTATGAGAACTGTGGACGAAAAAGGGGCCACATACTAAACCTGATAAGCTCAGGGAAGGCATGGAACAAACTCAGAGACCAAAAGTAACCTCACAGCATAGTCTGAACATAAAAATTCCTAACTAAAAGCAAGTCATGAACTGTAATCACAACCAGATCTGTAGCTTCCTTTAAAAAAAAAAAAAAAAAGTATTTATTCTTAGATAGGGGAAGGGAGAAAGAGAAGGAAACATCAATGTGTGGTTGCCTCTCACACAACCCTACTGTGGACCTGGCCCACAACCCAGGCATGTGCCCTACCTAGACTGAGAATTGAACCTGTAACCCTTTGGTTCGGATGCTGGTACTCAATCCACTGAGCCACACCAGTCAGGGTTGGCCTATCAATTTCTTGACAAGTAAATCTCTACCCGTCTATTGCCTTTTTGCATCTAAAATAACACACCTTTGGAATGTCAGAGTAATTCCTTTTCTTCCAGGACCCTCAGGGCATGAGAGCATAAGACCTCAGAACCGCCTATTGTTATCTTGTTGCCCAAATACCATCTCTAAGTGTTGTAAATGTTAATTGTTAACTATCCTCTACCCACAGGTGGGTAGTATTTGTTTCTCAGGTTTTACTCTTTTCCAATTGCTTTGCTTTCTCCTGCCTTTTACCACCAATGAATTTCATGTTACAGCCCTTATGTCTCCTTCTTTGATTCTGATACATAAAATAAATTACAAAACTGCCACTCTTCAGAGCATTTTCTCAATCTATTGAAATTTTGCTCCCCAGCATTGTCATCAGTTTAGCTCAAATAAACTCATAAAAATTCTTAACAGGTTTGGATGCTTCTTAAATTGACAGAACTCTGAGCTTCCCTTTCTTCTTCAGAACACTGGGTATTGCCTAGTTGTGCTTCCAGCTACCAAACCATAAGACCCTTGAATAAATCTTTACTATTTATTTCTAGCCAAAGCCTCCAGATTCTTTTTAGTTCATTTGACAAGATAATTATTAAGAATTAACTTTCCCTCAGTCCTCTTAGACATACCTGCAAGCATAATGAAAGTCACACTGTCAATGCTTAATCTACCTGTCAAAAGTCGTCCACTGTATTTCCTTCCCTCTCCCTTTTCTCCCTTTTTCATATGTGAAGATAGAAAGATATCACTATAGCGAAGAGTATTCTAGAACTGTAAGCCAAGTAAAATGACAACTTACAGTATTTTACTGAATTCTGCAAAATTATTTGCCAGTTAAAAAAATCAAGAGTTAATTTGGTCCCCACCACCCTCATTTTTCTGCTCCCTTCCCACAGAAAACATAGATTGGTTGACGATATAAAAGGGACAACAGATGTAATCACTGATAAGTATGATGCGACCATTCAATAAATACTTGAGTGCCCAATTACCAGACATTAATCTAAGCACCAAAGATAGTGTCCAAAAAGGATTTTTGACCAGAACACAAGTATTTAATAAAGTGGATAATCTGGGGTCCTCAGGCATCAGAGCCTTGATGAGATTATTCTGCTTGGATTGATTCTATAGCTTGCTTCTAAAGGAGAAATTTAGTGAGCCGAATTTTCTCAGAATAAACAACAACAACAACAACAAACCACAACAAAAATTGTGGATCTCAATTCACCAAAGAGGATGGAAGCTGAGAAGACATCACACTCTTTGGCTAGGCATGTCACAAAACAGAGTGAGAAGTGGCAGCTACAAGAATGTGTATAGGCTAAAAAGCAGAGACATCCTATGAGGCTAAGACTGAACGAATTTAAGTTCCTTAGGATTCTGTTTCCTACAAGCTGATTTCAAGACTCAGTGACCCTAACCCCAATTTCTGAAAGAAAAAGGTCTACAAAACTGTAGTAAATATCAATTTACTACAAATTCTGGGACAACTGGTGCAAAGGCATGTTTTATTATACATTAGATGTCACCCTTGAATTATCACATTTTTCTTCATATTTGAAAGTCTTTGAAACAATCAAGATCTGAAGAGCTTTGGCAAGTTTTGCTCTTTGAAAATCAGTATCCCTGCTCCCTAGCCTGCTTATCCCAAGGGGGAATAAAGTCCAACATTTGTTTGCACAGCCTCTCCAAATTAAAAATGGAATCTGAACCCCCTTCTGAAATCCGGGTGTACATTTTTGAAGTTATTTAAACTTGGGAGACGAGGGGGTGGGGGAACCGGGAGAGGTGAGACTTCTGCCCTGTATGACCGCGCAGGGGGCGGACCTGCAGCAGCAAGCTCCCAGCCCTGGGCCCGGACGCCGGGCTGGATGACTCGGACTCTAGGGTAGCCGGAGAGCGGAATGAAGCCAGCGAGCCTAGGCGCGCGGAGGCAGAAAAGACCAAAGGGCAGGCTGCGGAGTCAGCAGGAACTTCAGGAAAGCTCGGGCGCTCTACTCAGGGCTCCGCCTGAGGCTGTGTTTGGGGATCCCCTTCGCCGCCCGGACCGAGTCTTGGAGGGTACCTGACTTCGGGCGGCCGGTCCACAGCTCCCTCCCGCCGCCTGGGCAGCAGACAAAGCCGTTTCTCCACAGAGCCGTAACTCTAGCCAGCGTCGCCCGCATCATGAGCCTCTTAGACACTGTCCCAAGGTGAGAAGAACGCAAGCGCCCACGAACACCTCAGACCCCGCCCCTCGGACTCGGGCGTGGCCGCGCCTGGCGGAACGTTTCTGTTTCGCGTCCCTCTCTGTGCCGGTGTTTGGTCTGTCGATTCCGACCGAAAACCCGAGACTGCAAAGACAGTACCCGGGACGGTTATTCGGACTTTCCTTTATGCTCTCTTTTCTCTCTCCTTCACTTAAATTAGCTCATTTTTTTACCCTCGTCAACAACCCACTTATTCCCCTGACTGTAGCGGAATGTTTGTGAAGCCGGAACCAATATGCTGTACGGCGCTGGCGGCCGGAGCATTGTTTTGGTAAAGGACCACCAATTTTCTGTGAAGGTTTGGTCGGGACAGTTCCGGGGACGCAGCAGTTAGGTCTTCGTCTTCATCTCCCGCTATGCACCGACAGAATTTTCGACCCCCGACTCCTCCTTACCCCGGCCCGGGTGTAGGAGGTTGGGGTAGCGGGAGCAGCTTCCGGGGTACCATGGGCGGAGGCGGACCTCGGCCACCCTCCCCTCGGGACGGGTATGGGAGTCCTCATCACACGCCGTCGTACGGGCCCCGGCGTAGGCCCTACGGGAGCAGCCATTCTCCACGACACGGCGGCAGCTTCTCTGGGGGCCGGTTCGGGTCTCCGTCCCCTGGCGGCTATCCTTGCTCCTACTCCAGGTCCCCCGCGGGGTCCCAGCAGCAATCCGCCTACTCCCCAGGGCAGCAGCACGCCCACCCCCAGGTAATAACAGTCAGCGTTTACCGAGTTCTTACTGTATGGCAGGCATGGTACTGATAATTCTTTTACATAGGGTGTTTGGTTTCTTATTAATCCTTTATGGGATGAGATTTAGTTGTTAGTCCCGCTTTGCAGATGAGTAAACTGAGGCTCAGAGAAGTTAAATAACTGTTTTTAGACTATCCAAGGAAGTGGCAAAACCCTGCTTTCTAGATCCCTCTTGCTTTTATCCTCTATGCTGCCACAAATTCACAGATTTCCCTAATTCTCTCTCCTTTGTCAGAGCCCTTCCCAGTCTGTCTCAGCGAATTTCTTCTGAGCCTGGGTACCCGAAGGGCAGAAAAAGCGAATGAATTCCCAGCGTGGAGCTCTTCCAGTTTAGAGAGTTATAGGCCGCTGGCACTTTTTTTAACCTTTTCTATCCAACCCTTCTCCCCACCTTTGTTTTCTAACTACACTGGCTTCTCCAAGTTTTCTCGAAAATCAGTTAATAGTGGAAGTTCCCTATTCCTCTCAGTGAGAGTGAATACAGAAGATGAAAGTATTTCTGGTGTGTGTAGGATTTTTGTGGTTTACAACTTGCATATACTCGGTGCATTTCCAACTTTCCTCATGCTTAACCAACCCCATCCCTTTGAGTCTGGAGCCAACAAGATGGGAAGGTTCTTGAAATTTTGAAGCTATAAGATTAAAAAGTTTTAATATTTTTCCAGGCAAAAAAGTATGGAAATTTTGAGAAAAAAATGAAGTAGTTATTTATTATTTCATTGCCAATTGATAGTTCTGCAAAGTTTGAAAATCAGAAGTATTTGAGGTTACAGTGGGCACAGAATTAATAAAAGCATATCAAATTGGTTTAAACACTTATTAAAAAACAAAAACACTGGATTAAAGAAAGCATGGACTTTGCATTTGAACATATTTGGCTTCAAGGTACAATGACTTTTTAACTAGCAACATGATCCTAACTAGCTTTTAAAGAAAAAGTACCAGTGATCTCTACTAAATGTTTTTTTAACTGATTTTTTTTCTAAAGGGTTCTCCAAGGACATCTACACCTTTTGGATCAGGGCGTGGTAGAGAAAAAAGAATGTCTAATGAGTTGGAAAGTTATTTCAAGCCTTCAATGCTTGAAGATCCTTGGGCTGGCCTAGAACCAGTATCTGTAGTGGATATAAGCCAACAATACAGCAATACTCAAACATTCACAGGCAAAAAAGGAAGATACTTTTGTTAACATTTCTGAAATTCAACTGGAAACTTCATTTGTCAGGAACACCTTGGACAAAGCTTTCACTTGTGTATTTAAGTTGAACCCTGACATGGGTCTTACTGGTATTTTTCATCATATCAAATACCGATATTAGAGAAGACATATAGTAGGATGATACGCAATATTTAGCTCTCTGAAAGTGCCTGCCACATTTTAGAAGATTTACTTTCCAAATATTTAACATTGTTGGTTATGTAATGAACATTTGTCTTTTCATGTTTTAAAATAAAACATTTTGTCTAGCTATATTGTGGTTTCGTCATATGCTAAAGGAGTAGGATTATTAAAATAACACTTTGTATTATTCATCAGTATTTGCCTACTACAACTTTTGAAAATAAAATAGATAAACCATCCTTTGAGCTGTAGACAATTCCATATTTGTTCATAGGGAAAGAGGTAAGGAAGAGAATAAAGGAGATTTCTGTTCCTATTTTAACCATTGTTTTATGTGCATACTTTATGTAATGTTTTTGTGAAAATGCATTGGAAACTTGATTGGAAGTCACAGAGACTCACTTACGCTTCAATAAAAGAGTTTTTTGCACTCGCTTAACTGGAAAGGACAAGGACATACCTATTTCTTGCATTATTAGGCCAAAGTATTTTGTGTCTGAATTTCTCTACAGTTTTCCATATTGTGAAGTCATTTTCTCTTGAGGCTAAGGAAGATGGCTGTCAGCAGTCTCATATCATTTCCATTGTGAAAAGGACATTTCCCAACTCTGTCAATCCCAGAGCAGACAGATTGGCCATGCTAAATTAGATTATTTTTGTGTAGTCCTGATCCAAAAACTGTCCAAGGTAATGAGGCCTAATTAGTTTGACCCACTAATTACAAGGAGACAGGGTGCTGTGATCTTCAGCTCCGCTAGGCCTACCTGGAGTAGAGAAGTGGTTTTCCACAGGAAGGAATGTTATGTTTTTATATTTACAGTAATGGAGAGAAAGACATAAAGGGAATTTTTCCCCAACCTTTCCCCCCCGTTAAGAGAAAGAAGGGGAGAGAGAGAAACATTCATCAGTTGTCTCTTGTAGACACCTCAGCCAGGGACCAAACACAATGTAGGCGTGTGCCCTGACTGAAATCAAACCCACAACCTTTTCAGTTTACAGGTGGATGCTCCAGTCAGCTGAGCCACACTGGCCAGCGTCTTCCCAACTATTTAAACAAAATTAAGTCTTATAATATCCAGGCTTTTTAAAAATATTTTGAGATCACAATACATGAAAATAGAGCTAGTTAAAATTTTGTTCCAGAAATGTCTGAAAATGAAATGGCCTCACCATCTATCTGAGCCATACCCAATTAATTTATTACATCATCATGGAGGCACAGAAAATGAGATGGGAAGGACTTTTAGATTAATAAAATATCCAGGATAACCAGGGCTACTACTGCCAAATTACTAGACAGATGAGTTATTTAACTTCTCTATGCCTCAGTTTTCTCATAATGTAAAATGAAGAAATTAATAGTACCCATGTCATAAAGGTGTTGCGTTTGAGAATTAAATGGGTTTACACATGTAAAACTTAAGGCCAGGGCCTGGCACATAGTAAGCACTCAATAAATTGTAGCTATTTCTCATTTACCTCTATAGCCTCAGCTCTTAGAACAATGCCTGGAAAGTAGTAGGTGCTTAATAAATATTTGGTTAATGTAGACATTCAGATTATATCTACTATACCATTCTGCCTTTATCTCCTCTATATAAAAAAAAGTAAATGCTTTTTCCCCAGTACATTAAAGGAAATATCTTCATTCCCTAATACCTTGTCTTTCCAGATGATTTGAGGTCATGATGTATGATGAAAATTAGAGCAAGTAGAATACTTTTGTAACCCTTTTATGGAACTTCATAGGTAAAAATTATCGTCTTTAGGAAATGCCTTCTGGAAATAATTACTAAAGCATCTCTTAGAGATCACTGGGTTATTGGCAAAGATGAAGTCAGGAAGGATATTGTACTAAAGTACTTATTTTTACTTTATATACTTTAAAGTGCATTTGCATTTTTAAGTGTTCTAATTAATAGTTTGTGCATTTTGTTTTGCTACTTTGTAAGTGTAATGTTAAACAACTAAAGGTATAATTTTTTTCCTGTCAAGTTACCAACATTTACTTGGAGAGGTCTGACTTTTTCTAATTTTTTTAAGAGAAACATTTTTGTTTCCAGAAAAGGTACACTTCTTTATTGCTCTAGTTGGTCATGTTTTTAGTTTTCAAAGTTCTTTTGACAGTAGTATCTTGGTTTGTTTCTATGATTAGCCTATTTTTGTTTAGCTGAGTGAAAGAAATGAATTACTCTTTTAAATGAAAAATAATTTTTTTAGTGTTCTGGAGTGAACATTTTTACCTCCATAAAAATGCTAAATGATTGTTAGAGAAATTTATAGTTAAGTTTGCATCTTAAGTATTTATAGAATTAAAGAATGGAAAAATAACCTATAGCTATGTCTTCAAACAACAGTATTAAATTTCCCAAGGTATATGCAGGCATCGATAACTTTACAGCATCCAAAGCCGTATCTGCTTAAAGACCATCTCCAAGATCAGTGGATTATGCTAGTTCTCCATTTTCTGTTCTGCCATTGTGTAATCATCCTACCCTACCTTACAAAAGAAATCTGTGGCAGTTATATTTTTCAAAAATTACCCCAACAATATTTCAGGTCCCACATACTCTTCCAGGAATGTGCCACTACCCCATCAAGATGTGGAGTTATGTCCCTTCCCTTTGAACCTGAGCAGACCTTTCCACCGAGGTAATGTGGTGGAAGTTAATGTATTTTCATTATGGGTGAAATGTGGTCTTAAAAATGGCTTTTATTGGCCTATGTGGAGATGTTCAGAATTTAGATGAATTGTCAATTAAGGGAGATAGAGTAATGCCAGTTTTTGTTTAATGACCTTGCCTTTTTTGTCACTTGACTATTTAAAAAAACATTTTTCTTTGGGTAAATAGTGAGAAAATAAAGCAAAGAGAGCATGAGAGAAAGGTATCTTAGGCAACAAGTCAGAAGGTTGCTGGCCTCATCTATCTTACAATTAGAAAATTTTAGATTTGTGTAAGAGATGATGGATTTTGTTGGCTCTATTGTAAGCAAACTGTCCTCACCATTATCAATTACAGTAAAGAACCTAATGAATATGTCTAAAACCTGTCTGAGTAACATAATTTGCATGATTTCAAGGAGGAAGTTAAAAGTTTCATGTTTATTTCTGACATTAACATATCTTCAAGTTGAAACAACACATTTCAGAAGTAAATTCATGGTTTTATATTTTCTAGAGCATGTTTCAGATTCTTAGGTAAAACATTATTAACCTTTGCTAAGTTCATTATCAGATTCTGTGTATTCATACTAATTTTTTACCTGGCCCAAGTCTCCCGCTTACTGTCTCAGCCATTTCTCCATTTTTATCATTCCAATGATGTATTTAGGTTTAAACAAACAAATATATTGTGGACTTTACTATAAATGAAACAGTAGTCATCAAAAGCAGTCATAAAACATAATAGCCATCACTTTGCATAATAAGCCCTGAACTTACTAATGATCAAGTATTGTTTGGTCTTAGTTTTTACAGTCTAATATCATTAGTCTTTTAATCTAAGACATTATTATGTGATTCACGCTTATATACCACTTAATAAAAACACTACCAAATAAACTTTAATATTCCATTGAATATAAGATGCATCCTAATTTCAGAAATGTTAAAATATATATTTTAGTTTGATGAAATAGCATAAACAATACTCAAAAGTAGAACATATACTTTACATACAGGTATAAATGTCCATAAAATACAATTTTAGGACATAGTGCATTTAATTTTAGAAAACTAGCTTTACTTAATTACGATTAATTCCTCTCAATTCTCTATATTCTCTTCTAATTCTGTAAAAAACAAATGCTTTTCAAACAAAATATCTAATCTCTGTATAATCATCCTCAAGAAATTTGTGTAACTTCCAATTTTATGGGGTTGTTTTGCTCAGTTTTATCTTAATTTCCATAATCAAGATGATTCTAAATAAGTTATAGATAAGTCTTGGAAAAATATTTTGGTTAACACTCTAGGAAGCTGAGAAGGAAAATGGGCTGAACAACAAGGTCTCTAGTGAGGATGGTTTTAAATTCTTTGCTTTCAGCTAGGAGAAATCTTAAATTGTCAGCTAATGGTCATTAAGAAATAACTTAATGACCAGTTTATGATCTTTGGCATATAGCATAAAAAGCATCTAAGAATTAAGTGGCATCACTATAACAAAATTTTACCACTTTTTATTTATATGCATGAGTTCTCAGCATTTACTTTGAATATAATAATAATATTGATCTCATTCTAGCAATTAGCAATATTATGCTTGAATACAGGAAAATACACTACCATCCATCTCATTGAGCTACATTTCCAATAAAATATGCTTTTAATAACATTAAACTTGATATATTAATGTTCTTTGAATAGTATGATAATTCAGACAACAGCCTTTAACATTTGGAGGTTTATATAGGAAATGGATTTTTTAATTTCCAAAAATATTTTTCTTTCAACAAATATATTTTTCATACATAAGGAGAAACAGCTGTATGACAGGGTATCAATAAAAGACTTTCAAGCATTACACTGCATTATAAGGAGATAAAAATTACATCAGGAAGTAAAATTGAAATGGGAATAAGAGATAGAACCAAGATGGCGGAGGAGTGAGTGGAAGTCACACTGAACTCCTTCCAGAACCAACCTGGAATTGCAACTAAATTGTGGAGAAATCACCTGGAACAAATAACTGAAAAATAGTGAAAGAGGAGCCTTATAATCTCAGACAGAAAGAAGAATCACCTTTAGCACAACCTAACTGGTAAGGAGTGCAGTAGAGACTCAAGAAGGTGAGTGGGGCACCCACAGTGAGTCTCTTCATCACCCACGGTAGCAGCATCAGAATGATATTGAAATGGCTGGTTAGATCTCCCTGAGAAAATCGGTATAAACCATAAGCGGAGATCTCCAGCCTACAGCACCAGAGCCCAAAAAGTACCCAGACAACAGCCAGCTGGGAAAAGCGGCAGGGCTGCTCTCTGCCAGAGACAGTTGGGTGGAGACACAAAGAACCATTTAAAGGGCCACCGCATAAACATTTATTTGCAGCTATTTACCCTGGGCTCCGGCAAAGGCGGGGGCAGAGTGGGCTGGAGATGCCTGAGGAGAGACTGGGGAAGGTGGCTTTGAGGAGACAACTGAGAGTAGCTGGAGGAATCCCAGTGCTGACTCATAACCCAGATGGCAGCAGCCATCTGGCTCAGGCAGACCAATCCCTTGAGTGGCAGCAGCAACAGAGGACACAATAGCCCCGCCCCCAGGAGGGCCTTGGCCCTAGATCAGTAGTGCTAAAACCTGACTGCTCCGTACAGAGTGGCAGCCACAGATAGTAGGTCTCTTGCTAAAGGGGGCGCAGAGAGGTCAAGAGACCAGGGGAGACTGGAAATGGAGGCTTTGGAGAGAACTGAGAGTAGCTGGGGGGATCGCAGAGCTGACTCCTCCCCAATACAGCAGCAGCCATCTTGCTAAGGGAGACCATTCCCCTGAGCAGCAGCAGCATGAGAGGACCCAGTAACCCTGCCACCAGGAG